ACTCAACTCCAGTATGTCAGCATTTTAAACGGAGGAGCCCACAAGTGAAAAAATGCTTCCTTTTCCATTTATCTTAGACAGTTGAGCTAATGGGGGGAAAAAAACCCTGACAATTCAGGTACTATACCTGATAAAAAGCAGAAGAAAGTCCAATAGCTAACTTTCCACAGAAAACAAAAAAAAGTCAGCGTGACACAGAAACTAGATCCTAAACGATTGTACCCTCAGTATGTTATAAAGACAAAAAACTCTGGAGTAGAGGGCCATCTTGTGCCACCAACAATGGTTTGTTCTACAGATTTCAGAGGAAGGGCACAGGACACAAAGCAACAGATAATTTTTTAATAAGCTGTCCCACGGAGAAGGGTTTTTTCCCTGAGTTTCAACAGCTGCCGATTTATGCCTTGCAGATGAGGGGTATTTTACCAGCTACAAGCTCTCTATAAATCGCTAGAGAACTCATTATCAGTATGTCTCTAATTCTTCTACAAATTTTATACAGCTGGTTGGTAATTCATTTATAAATTTGGTTGATCTTACAGGACAAGTAGTATAAAATTGTATGAAGTAGCTCCTTGTACCTTCAAAATTTTACTTTTCAATTCTTCCAAAAGGAATAGAGAAGCATAAATTTCAGATAAACTGAATAAAAAGAACTTAGTTAAAACAATTAAATACCTAAAAATTCAGTTTGTTTTGAATTATTAATAACTGTAATGCATATTTTAAAAAGTAATTTCATTTACAAAAAAAATCAATTAAATATTAGTACACTCTCTTCTAAAATCACACGGCTTAGTTAAGAAAACAAAATGCAACTGGTTTGCAATTCTAAACTGTTAGTCTGGAAGTAATATAAAATTAATCTTTTATCAGAAAGGTAATAATGCGTTAAAAGTGTAAGTAACTTGTTATATTGTTTTTAAAAGAAAATTGCTTATTAATACCTGTATGAGTTGTCTACTAAATTCTAAAATCTTTGTAAAGGCAAGTGATAAAATTAATATATTCAATTTCTCAGATAAAAAGAAATTTGCAATTTTTCTACTTAAGCAGTCACTCAGTTGTTCAGATATGTGTAATTTGATCTTTCATGAATTCCATAACAATCTAAAGTAGGTGAGCATAAACTGGCTAAGACACCCACGACAGTAAAGGTTATTTAGAATGTGAGTTACTGACTAACTACAGTAGGTATTAGAAGCCACTTCACGGTGAGACTGGTGAAGTATGAACTCTGCGTTACTTCTTACCAATTTTGATATATTGAAAAAAACCTGAACAAACATTCCTTCAACGTTTGCAATGTAAATATCTAAAAAAATATGGTTTCAGAACATTGTTTTATCAAACTGAAATAAAAGCAACTAAAAACTAAGTGACAAATAGAAAACAAAACAATTTAAATTATGAAAATTTTCATTAGTAATATAAACTATTTAACAAAGACAAAGAATATATTAAAATATGAAGTAGTTTAATATCACAAAATATGGTCTGGTGCAACAAAAACTGCATTTAAAAAACCAGGGTTTTTTCAAATGACACTTGTTACTGTCTTCTCCAACACTGTATCATGTTGTTTCTGCAAAATATTTAATTAATATTTTGCACTGATGTATTACCATGAGTACAAAACGTACCTTTCCTTTTTGTCTTTTCATTGGCACCTACCGACTATCTCTGTCCCACAGGAGTATTCGTATGTGGTTGATTATTGACGGCTGGCCTAGTTTAATTTCAATTCCAGAACGGCAGTCATCATCGATCGGGTGTCGAGAGAAGCCGTGATCCAAGTCATAGTTCTGAGTATCCCCATCTAATAAAGCAGACTTCAGCTCTCCTTTTACAACCTGTGCTCCATACTTCATTGTTGCAATATTTTCCCCTGGTACTAAGAAGAAAAGGAAATAATGGTTTAATTTTTACACTCTCGTACTGCAAATTAGATGTTCTGAACATCAACTGAATTAGGTCAGAACAAAGACTTACTGCTGGTATCCTTTCCTGGTCACAAACATATGCTCAAGGGCAAAAAAAGTACAGAAAAGAGAGGCATTTTAGAAATTTTGCTTCTTCAATTTCATTTTATGTCCTGTAGATCTTTTACAGCAATGAGTTGTGATCATTTACTAGTATGTAGTATCTACGTTCTCAGTCATCTTCATGAGTTTACAGAATTCTATCGCACCCTCCTCATACAATCATCACTTTTCTCCTTGTTCTAGTTTAGGTCTACTGAGTCTCTCTTTGTGATGAACCTCTACCCATACCTCTAATAATATTTTTTTCCTTTTCTTTCATATTTTTTGTTCCAATTAAAAAAAAAATGTTTGGGGTTTTGAAGCGGAAGAAAACTAAAAATCACATAAAATTTTCAAGATTTGGATGCATCATCAATTTGCAGTGGTATATACAGCAGTATAGCTACACAAGCTATTTTGGTAAGTATACAAGCTTCCACTACTCTGCAAAGCTGAAAGAACCTGAGTAAAATGGGAAAACTTCTGATTACTTGGGCTCTCAACCAACACGGTAAAGCGTTTTTTGTGCCACCATTTCACAGTACTAAACCTGTTACATCCTAGGAACAGATCTTCCATCAAGGAAGATCCAACTTCCTATCCAACCAGGGCTAATGATCTCTAACTCTAACTACAAAACAATACACTGATGAACCACTCTGTTAAAAAAAAACCATCTGTAACAGTCTTGTTAGAGGAGAGACTCTAGAAATCATGATCTGAAAGCTAAATGATGAAAAGTGGCCCCTGAACTCTTCAGGCAGGTTGGCAAGAGAAGAATGAATTTTAGCAGGATGTTAAGTTTAACATCTAAAGAACAGAATTTGAATTGATAAAATCTTAATTGTATTGTAGTACTACTATATAAAAATACCAAAAGCACAACTATGAAACTGCAAGTGGCGGTCAATGTGTCCACAAACAGAGAAAGTCCCAAGAGCCTGAACTAGTACTAAAACATCACAGAAATTAGATTCTCTAAAAATCTGTGATTTTGACAATTTAGACAATTAGAAATTTTGAGATTTGTATGTTATTACGACACACAGAAGTCACAAAACACAATTTAAATTCTACAAATTTATCTATTGCACTGTCAACAGAATGTCTTGCATGATAAGACTTTCACAATATCCTAATGTTAACTCGTATGTTTAAATATTAATATCAGTAACTTCTAAGAGAGTATGAACAGGAGATGCAGTTCTGAGAAAGCAGTGATCATTTTCAGGGCTCATCATTCATGACTGACAGACTACAGTGCAATCTCTCAAAGAACATTTAGCTTTATTCTTTCCTGTAGGGCAAATTCTCTCTATAAACCATAGATTAGATAGCAAACTAACAATATCTTTCCAAATCTCACTGTTTGAATTCTCGTTGATTTAACAGAGAACACAGACAAAAGTCAAACAAAGGCTTCTCACACTCTTTAGGCTTTCATTAACACAGTTTTGGAAGACTTTTTTATATTATTTGGGTGACCACGTAAAGAGTAAGAAAAATCAAAAGTAGCAGAGACAGAATGAAAATCTTCATGAAGCAGAAAACAAGTCACCACCACATAAAACCACTGATACATCACAAATCCCACAGCCAATACATTTATTTTAATGGTTCTGCAAAAGATTTTCTATTAAAATAGCCCTTCTTCTAGGAAAAAACACTCTTATTACAACATTCATGTTTGAGTAGTATCTTAGATACAAAGTAAAAAAATATGTTGACTAATATTATTTGAGGAATAGCAATAGCAAGCCCAGTACGTAACAAGATATTTCATTATGTAAAACTTTTAAAACACGTACTAGATAAAAATTCAATTAATAGATTAACTATATGCTCCACAAAACTACAGTCACTAAATGACAAACAAACAAAAACCTTGATGCTTACTTAACATGCCCCTATAGTTGAGGTCCATGTCCCGACTCTCGGAACGAATCTTAATGGCATCCAGGATGGCATCAGGTGACAACAATCCAGAAGGTCTTACAACATTTAGTAGTTCTGTTAGACTCATTAGCGGCAGACGTACTGCTTGCATGATTTCAGCATGGTTTTCCTTGGGGTTATGTTTACACCAATTCATCAAAGCTTGGAAAATGTCCTTCTCAGGAGCAGCAAACGAGTCCCTCAGTACAATACTTAAAAGAGCAGCCTGGAAAAAAAAAAGCAAACAACCAAACAAACCTCAAATAAACCAAAGTAAAATTAAATTTATTTTTTTAAAAGGTAAAAAAACAAAATTAAAATAAGGCAATAATTAATGGGTATTTTAACTTGTATTTATTAAAAGTAATCTCCAAAGGAGTGACTACCTGGAAACTGTAGCTTACTTTAGTTACCTAAAGCAAGAATAATAGAATCCATCATGCAAATAACAGGAAATATTACAAACCCAACAAGAAAAATGTCAGAATTGAAATATGGAAAACTATTCAGATCAGTGTAATTCCAGTTATTAATTCAAATTTACTTTGGTATATAAGAAGCGATATGGGGATTTGGTAATGGAGCTCAAAGCATTACTATAAACTTCGGCTGGTATAAGAACATTGATGAGAAAAATAAAGTGTGGCTTGAAATCACATTTTTAAACCATTTCTAACTGTTTGGGTTGGTTTTTTCCCTCCTTTCTCTCTTTTGGTACCACTTAGAATCAGCAGGTAAAAACTTCAGTGTCTCTTATTCTTGCAGAAAACCCACTGACTGCAAAAATGAGAACAAAAAGAAATTAACAGCTTTCCGATTCTCACTTTGCAGAACCATTAGGAGTTTGCTTAAGAAAGGACAAATCTCTCATTCATATCAGGACTGGCTATGCCAAAGATGTCATAAAGTATATGCTTCGTGATGAATAATGTTTGATAATTTCCTTATTGATAATACACTCTGAAAGCTCAGATTTAACCAACTGTGCAGCACAGAGTACAAAAGAGAGTTGTGTACCTACACAACTAATAGGTTAGTCAGTGGAGCAGAGCGTCACGTACTTATTCAAGGAATAGACCCAACGCAGTTTTCCACTAAAAACACTTAAAAATTAAACCATGCTTTGCTGCTTCATGTGAACTCCACTTGAAAAAAACTATCACTATTTTGTCTGGCTCAAAGACCATTCCAGAGCACATAGAAAATTTCAGTGGCAGAGAGCAGCTTGACTTGGGCACTAATATTTATGCATCTAAAAACAACAAAACTAATACGCAAAGAACCCAAACCACCCTACACCACCACCATATGATGTAATTTCAGAATACGACAATCAGTGACATAAATCAGAGCAACTTCCAGAATGCTTCAGCCCATCCCCAAGACAGCCTATATCAAGAAATTAGAATGGAGCATCTTCTGCCCTCTTCAAAACTTTATATCCGCTAGGCAGTGTTCAGAAACCAAATCATTCTATTTCAAGAACAGATGAAAAAAGACAAATCAAGATTTGCTCCAACCTTTGAGAATACTCCATTAGATTTAATATATCTTTAGGTACACTGGTCAAAATTAAATATCTAAAAAAATCAGAACGGATCACCAGGATTTTCAGTTCACCTTGGCTAGAACTTTTCCAACTGTCACAGTTTTACTAGTAGAGAAAGATACCTGTTAACTACCATATAGACTTGTACTTTGTGCCCCCATTAGTATTTTATCATGAAGTTATATACAGATTAAAATTAACTCTACCAGAGAAAAAAAGTGCAAATAAAAGATATACCTTAGAAAGTGACAAGAAACCTTCACTGGAGAGCACCTCCTGGGCATTTCTATCCATGAACATACAACACATACAAGTTAATTTGCGAAGGGTATAAAGACTGGCAACATCAAATGTCATACAGACGTTCTGTATATTAAGTATTGTGCAAAGATACTCAGATGTGGAATCCTCCAGTTCAGGGAAACCATATTTATGTGCTAGGCTTAGGAAGTCTAAGAGAACCTCCTCTTTCTCATCTCGTAGTGTAGCACGACCAGTGTAAATATATTTCAACAGCATGGTAAATGCTTCTGCAGTGGTGTCCTGAAGAGGAATTTCTGCTTCTGGCTGAGATTCTCTCATTCCACCATATAATAATGCCCTATGAAGAAGATAAAATTTGAGAAATTAAATTCTGATAAAAACAAGGCAAAAAGTAGAAAGATAAATAAATAAATTACTACTTATAGGAAGGGGAATGCAAAGAGGATATGGTTTAAGAATCTACTACAGAAAAACCTTTACACTTGGCGCTTAAAGTGCAGCTTTGCTCTGAAAGCAACTGCACAACAGTACTCTAATGTGCCATGTTTTTATCCTGCATGATTGCTCCATCTCTACTTTGAACAATACCTTCCAAAGCAGAAACTGATATATGATTCTCATACCTTTAGGTTTTTCATTAATAAAGTGCTATCAGTGAGAAAGAAAAAAATGAGAAGTTTTCAGAAAGACAGGGAAACAAGTAGTTTGCCACTGTAATAGCAGTAGCAGATTAGCAAATATCGGCATTCTTGGTCCTCTTTTCCTTACTCTAAACCAGACCTATGGCAACTCCAATGAAATCCTGAATCTTGAGAAAAAACAAAGTATTCACAATTATTTTTTAAAATACAATGGATAGTTCGAACACAATTTGCATTCACACTTCTGTTATTAGCTTATGCCTCTGACAAAACTAACTGGAAGAAGATAATCAGGAAGTTCTAGTAATTACATTTAGAGTGAAAAATGGCCAGCTCTTAAAAAAAGCTGCATTAGTATTATTCCTAGTTTTAAAATTTATATTCTAACCTGTATCAGCCAGACGTCTTTAAATACTCAACTGCAACACCTAAAAATTAAATTTGGTAATGGAGTATATTCCATAGAAGCCCAGTATCCATACTCTGAGAAATCAAAACAATTTTACAGCAGAACTTTTCTGTTCTTAAGTTATCTTTCCCTTGAATTTGTGAAACTACCTTCAAAATCCAATTTAATGAAGGTCAAAAGAATAACACCATGACATGGTATTTATCTTTTTATATTTGGACACAATGATTTGATGTGCTGGAAGACATTCACACAGAAAAGGTCACACTCTATGGACAGATGATTACACCCTGAAAAGTTCATAGAGAAACAATGTTTATCTTATCTGCATGAAAATTTCCTGTGAGCCTGCCAAAAAGCTATACTTCACCTGAAATAATGGCACCTAGCAGCCAGGATCACTCTGTGTGCCGGAAAACGTTTCTTTTCTACAATAAAGGTAACGTCACTGTATTCTTCCCCATTCATTAGAGCACCAATGTGCTCTGACAGAATGTGAACGTGGTCAATCTCACCCACAGCTGTGTAAGGACGAAGTGGGTGGCTGTTACTCATCTTGGAGGGATGGGGATATTGATAGCCTGAAGGAAAAAAGAAAACAACCAGTATTGCAAAGGGCACAAATATTAAAAAATGGCAAAGATCAAGGTGCAATAACAAAAAAAGCAACTAGTGAAAATTAACATATATTATAAGAAAAATTAAACCAAGGGGTTTTCTATTGAAGTTTATTTACAAGGCTTGATGCAGCTTGCATCAGCAATTCTAGCCAACAGAAAATATTTCAGAGAATTCCATCACACTGTTGTTCTGTCAATCCATTTACTTAAAATAAAAAGCTTCCAACAAAAGGAATTAAAGTTATGCAATTTTAATTGAAGTTACCATCTGAAAACAATTTTATCTGAATTAAAATGCACATAAATTATAAAGAAGTAAATAATTTGAGCAATTAAGCATAGTCTTAACTCCCAAGTCTCTGCTAAAATAAGTGATGAGTAAAAAAACCAGTGCTTTTGCAGGATTCCAATCAACTTTCCAGAACTGGGAGAAAATGATCAATCAGGATAAGTTTTAATAAGTAACAGACACTCTGTCAAACAGCAAAGCTTTACAACATACAATTCCATTTGCTTATCATTTCCACTCAGTTTTCTTCATGCTTTCTTAAGAAACACTGGCTCAGAATGGCACAAAATGCTCTGTTCAATCTTAAAAAGTTTTATTTTGAATGAGATGGGATTTTGGCTTACATAAAAAAAGAATGGATTTTTGTAATAGAATTGAAAGAGGACTTTCTCAGTCATAAAAGCAGAAGACTGTCCACTAATATACAATGTAGATTAATGCATTAGTCATATTCTGTGGAATTATTTTCCTACTTCTTAATTTACAAGATGTTGTAGTTTTGATGGGTTTGGTTTATTTCAGCAACAGAGGCTCTCAGTAGTCTCAGTGGCAAGAGCATCCACAGAAGAATTTAGGTCTCAAATCTCCTTCTATTGTTACACTTTGGCTTACTTTTATTTAAAAGCGAGGTCAGCTGTTTCAAATAATAACCAACTATATTTCCAGAAGCACCTTCTATGCTCCAATATCTAAACACTTTTCAAAATGGGCACATACTTAGCACTGAAAAAAGATGGGTGTACCACAAGAAGCAGGAAAATTATGAGGTCATACCCTGCCCAGAGCTAATACATTAATCTTTCAAGTGACACATTTATGACCTGAATACATTCTTAAGCTGTATTTTAAAAGTATTATGATAAAATATGCTTTTGTTTCCAGACATTTCTACCTCAACAAAGAAAAGAAAACACACGCACATGAGGTTAAGTATTATTTGCACTTCTGTAACACCTGGAAATGCTTAACCCAAAATCAATATACTGTAGAAACAGGGTCCCAAGGAACCTTATTTCTGTAACTTTTTCTAGTTTAGCTTAGAAAATAAGATTTGAGAAAAATACAGCAAACTAAGTCGATTATACAGATAGTAGCAGAAATGAGAACAAAACCCCAGCTTTCCTCAGGCTGTCTCTGCTACTTGAATTAGCAGCTGCGTGCCCATGTAGCTGTTACAGCATGGAACCAGCAATACTGGCCAAGATACTGGAGGACAGAAACACACAATACTGTACAGTCATTCTTTTATCCGGACATGAGAATAAAGAAATTTTTAGGTTTTTTTGATAATGATAGACAGTTTCTTCCATTTGTACTGGTTAATTTACAATTAGCTAAGACAACTATTCACCACATTTATGCAACTTACACTTGCAGTAACATTTACTTTGTAACAAGCAAGATTAACTTAACTCACAGCAGTCTAGTTGCATCTATTTATACTAGCAACAGTATTTACCACAACATAATTGAGAGTTTATAGACAATAGTAAAATTGAAATGCCATCAAAATAGAAATCCTTTTACTACACCAAAGAAGCAAACAAAATGTATTTGTTACTCAGCTGCAAATCTCAAGCCTTGAAACTCCTTCAAGACTTCTGCACCTTATATGTCTACAATTGGTGCTGTTGAGCTTCATTCGCAATCGTCAGACAACCCAACTACGTGTGAGTTACATGCACATCATCAAGCAACTCTGTACTATCTCTCTTCTGCTAGTTCCGATTTTGAATTATTGGGGAAGTTCATTTATGATACTTCATACATGTGCCAATGCAGGCACATTTTGGTTTTAAAATCTAATTCTAATTCAATTTTTTTCTACATCCTACTTCTTTGTTTCCTTTATCCACTCTTATGTCTGGAAAATAAGAACAGGTCCTGTCTGCATAAACTTGAGAGACTGTGAAAGAGGTAAAGATAAGGGAATGCCATCAGCCACACACTAACTTTGCTTCCAGTAGCTATGGATGTTGTCATGTGCCAATAGGGTGAAAAGTTCAAGGGAAAATTGTTTCCATTTCAGGTTAAATAAATAAATAAAATCAAAAGCCCACTTCCCTCTCAGCAGTACATAAACCTCTCTCTGAACAAGAATCGGCATGGAAAAGAGGGCAAAGTCTGAACCAGGTACACTTGCTAATAAGTCAATGATGCCAGTCCTTATGAACATCAAGACCCTGAACTACACCAAGCAATGAAAGTAGAAGATAGAAATCCTTGTACATAAACTGCAAGACAAATTTGTTTCAATGTTTAATGCTCTCCTAATTGCTGGTACAGTGTGTTATTCTAAATTGTCAGTTTCAAACAAGAACAGTCGCTCACAGGGAATACAGGACAAGTCTCTGGCTGAGGAGCCCTTCAAATGCTTGAATGACACAAACTGTTGGAAACTAGCAACTTTACGAAACTATGCACATGCCTTGCATGCTTTCTGTGCTATGCCCTGGTTTACTAGGATATAATTCTAGAATCAGTTTCCTTTTCAGGAAAACTGCATTTCTGTAAGGACTACAATTCCTTTTATAGGAACGAAGTGGTAAGAGACTTTGTTTTACTTTTCAGCCAGCACTGGTATGTCGTGATCAAGATCTTGAGACAAACATGGGCAGAGGCTAGGGGAGGCAGAAACCCAGGGTAGCTGACCACAAGCTGACCAACGAAAATTATTCCATACCACAAATGCTATACTCACTGTAAACTGGGAAGTTTGCTGGGGACAGTCCTTCAATGGCTGTCATTCCAAGAGGGTCCCATCTGCCAACCTACCCCTGATGCCTACTCCCCCACTATACTGGTTGACTATAACTCTGTGTATTTTACATTAATATTGTTATTAATACTGGAGTTCTTTTTCTTACTATTTTATTAAATCTGTTTCTATTTCAACCCACAGGTCTCCTTTCTTTTTCTGGATCCTATTCCCTGGGTGGGGAGGAGTCATTGGGTGATAGAAAAACTGTCTAAACCACAACACAGTACATTGAAAAAGCACTCAAACTCATTTATTTGTTTACTAGCATGCATTTCTAATATAAGTTTCGTTTGTATTGTGGATTTTCCATATAAAGCAGCCCAGTGAAAGCAGATCTGCCTTCAAAATAGAGAAACAAATAATATATTACTTCAGATCTTCTCAGACTGGATTAATTAATGCTACAAATTCAGTCAATCCCTCAAGTAATCTGCACATTCCTTGTCTGAGGAAGTAACAAGTAATATACTGCTCCAGTTGTGGCAAGCAGCTATGAGCTCACAACTTCCCTGTATAGCTAAACTTATATTTTTCTCGTTGCAACTCAAAATATTAATTATAAGGAAGAAAGACAGATGCTGCCAGGAGCTTGAAGAAACCCTTCCTGAAGATCCCTCTGGCATCTTGTGTCACCAAATGACATCACCCCACCTCTAATTCTCACAGCAGAGAACGCAGGTGTTTACTCTTCCTGGCAGTCAAAGAACACTTAACCAACTTCAGAATAAAAGACCAAGCAATTTACAAGTCTCTTGCTAGTACCATAACCTATTCCAGGAGGTATTCAGAGCTAATTAACTGCTTCAGGAGTCAGCTGCTGCAGCTTTGTTCATGCCACAAAAAAACCCAAAATCAGTCATTTCAGTGACTCTGAGGCACCCTCAAAGCTGCAATAATCTCAAAAGACATCTGTTAAGTCAGAAGGCCTACAAATCGATTCTGTCTCAGATCACATTGGAAGATTTGTTTCTTAGTGGCCATCTTCAACAGTGAGCATCTGAAAAATGCAGCCGTGTTTATTGCATAAGACAATATGCAACATTACACTATGTGTGTCATGGCTAGAAAAACAACAACAGAACTCCCACAGTTGCTACATATCTTTTTAGCAAGTAATTTGTAATATGTTATGGCATACAAAAACGTGACTTAGAAAATGCAGCAACAGCAGCAAAATTCCAACAACATCTTCACTAAACAACTCTCAAACCAGAGCTGCCATAAAGACACTCAGTCACTTCCCCGCAGATTTGGTCTATCACATAAGAGTCCTCTGAAAAGCAGTGCTGTTTCAATGAAACAAAGAAGAGTTGTTTTTCTAACAGGCATAGAAAAATACATTTAATAAATTGTTCATTAATAATTTCGATTTTTTTAATATAAAATGATTGAAAAAAATTTACATAACTGATAACCCTATTGAAAGTTCAGAAATAAATGCAAGTAAAAAGACTACTACTAGAATTAAAAATGTTGTGAAGTAAGTCTGGATTATAAACACTGAGCGAATACTTTCATACCCCTGCAACACTTAATTACTTCATCATCTAGTTTGTACCTAGCAAGATAACACAGATTTTGTCAGAATTGCACAAAGGGAATTTTCTTAAATATGATTCTCTTACACCATTATTTTATCTAGAAATAGACTTGTTCCTCAGTTGATTGGAAGGGATTTGAGTAGTACGATTTTTTGTAATTCACTACTTCATAGGATATTTTGCTATGCTTTAAATAAATTCCAGTAAAATATTACTTTAATTACTATTGCTATTACCATAGACTCACAGAACATGGTAGGTGTGACAGTAAGGCTACCGTACAAACATACCACTGTTTCCAATCTTAAGGTTCTTTTCGGATATACACGTCTTTTTATACAAAAAATATTTCATTCTTACAAGTTCTGGTAAAATAAGCTAACATCTCAGGAAACAGGAGATTTTAGCAAGTATTTCAACATACACCGAGTATAACCCAAGTAAATACCTGGAATCCGTCAGAACCCTTAGTGCAGAGGCTTCCTTGTACTTCTTAACAAGAAAAAAAGCTTACTATGAGTGAAAATTGTAACAGAAATGGAAAAAAACCTCAAGTTCTGGTACTTAGTATCCAATAACAACATAATCAATGCAGTATGAATTTATACATCTAGAATATGAAAGATCAAGTAAATGAAATTTACAGAACTGTTAAGTTTCATCTCCAACTCTTCTGCCATCAAAGGATTAAAAGAAAAGCAGATGCTAACTCTGGTTAATGGTAAATAACCACACCACTCAATGCCAGCATTCCAAACAACAATTTAGTACCAAAAATGTTTTGACTTACAGCATATGGGAAGTTATGCACTGCTCATCTGCAAACACAGTCCCATTACTTAAGTGCTATAGCGCTAAGGTTTTACATTCTGCTCAGAGACTTATTCCTCTAATAGAGGAGCAGGAATAAGTATAGCTAGGTACAAAAACCAATATACTAAGTGCAGATTACTTATTAGCACACATATAAAATAGGTAATAATCCACTCAATGCAACCCAGTTAATATATCATACAACTAAATCCTTAAGTTAAAAGTCTCAAGAAAACACACTGGCCCACTCACCAGTAAAGCTGTCTGAAGACCTACAGTGGACGTAGCCTGTAGGCAGATGGCCAACTTCCTGAAAATTAGGATTCTTCGCCATTCTGAATGACAGACAGATTGAACAACAAGCTCATAGAAATGTTATTCAGCAACATCCAGCTGCAGAGCAACAACTGTACCATTTCCTGAAACAATGCATGAAATACATACCATCAGAAACTGGAAGCATATAGCCTATGGCAAAAGTGAGCAAGACGCGTATTTCTCAGTTAAAATTTTTGTGGAAATAAATTCTTTAAAAATCCCTCCATTCCATGGGAAAACTTCTAATAAAATCAGAACAGAGCATTAGAATTTCTTTTTTTGAGTCACCATAATTTAATTTTGACCACCCATGTTTTTTAACCGTCAAAAATGATGGTACCATATTGCCCTTCATTTGTTCATTATAAGCCACAAAAAAATTTCATCCTGACATTCTTGCTACAGCACTAACGTCCCTGAGAGCACCATTTTCCCACATGGGTGTCCTAATTAAATCTCGTCTATACAAACTGTATCATGGACA